CTTTTGAGTGCGGAAAAACACTCTCAAAAATCTGTGTGTGCGCGGAAGGTGATTTGTGTGTGTTAGACAATCCACGCATGCGTAGGTAACAATGTGTACGTACTTTCTAAAGAACTGCACATGAAAAATCAATTTTAAGCATTTGTAAAATGTGTTTTATGTGCAGTTTGTACAGCATGCATTTGTGAACAGCATGACACACACACAAATGGCTTTATACGTGCAGATTGCGCAGCACGCATTTGTGATCCTCATGACACACACACACACAAATCGCTTGTTACAGACAAAACGTTAAACACGCATTTGTAACATTTTTGATAGTATTTTATCTCCATAGTGTTTTGCTCATGCAGCCTCGTGCATCTAGCTGCAAGCAGCTATGAAGAACAGACAACAGAGGTCTGGTAATGTCACTTCTTTTTAACTCCACAACCCCAGATTTGTTTCAATTTAAAACTTGCTACCCTCAAACCAACTGATGAGGACTCAAGTGACATTAGGATATTTATCAAACTTCATGGTAGCCCCCTTGAAACCACCAGGCTATACATCTTTGTTCACATATGCAGCAGTATGTGTGTGACGAGATCTTGTGCCAATGCATATGATAATTCATACTCAAAGTAGAACTGAAGTGACATTCATTACAAGATGATTAGTTAAAACATTTCAAATTGCACCTGCATTGGTTGGCATTTTGTGATTTTCAGTTGAATAAAAAAATATTTTTCCAGTGATACATTTCATCACTGAAGATATCTGAACGGGCCCATGGCACGTCTTTCCTTGTTTTCCTTATGTACAATGTTATAACAGTGAATTATCATCTTACAGTAGGTGTGACCTAAAGCTAAAAAAAATGACACGCATATACAGTGGGTACGGAAAGTATTCAGACCCCCTTAAATTTTTCTCTGGTCTGATGAGACCAAGATAGAACTTTTTGGCCTTAATTCTAAGCGGTATGTGTGGAGAAAACCAGGCACTGCTCATCACCTCTCCAATACAGTCCCAACAGTGAAGCATGGTGGTGGCAGCATCATGCTATGGGGGTGTTTTTCAGCTGCAGGGACAGGACGACTGGTTGCAATCGAGGGAAGGATGAATGCGGCCAAGTACAGGGATATCCTGGACGAAAACCTTCTCCAGAGTGCTCAGGACCTCAGACTGGGCCGAAGGTTCACCTTCCAACAAGACAATGACCCTAAGCACAAAGCTAAAATAACGAAGGAGTGGCTTCACAACAACTCCGTGACTGTTCTTGAATGGCCCAGCCAGAGCCCTGACTTAAACCCAATTGATTCCAGCAGCATTACACCTATAGTTAAGTCTTTTTTGCTTTGTCGGCATTACATTATCAGTAAAATGTTCCCAGCCAATTTATTTTTTCCATCAAAACATCAGATCTTCTAGCACATGACTCTCACAGGTCTTGGTTAAAGAACCCTTGGTATGCTTTTTCTTGTTTTTTTGACTATTTACAATTATCATCTTAGATGTGACCTAAAGCTAAAGAAAATTGGCATACCGTATGTTCTAGTATTTCTATGCAGAAGCAACTCAGTTTATCGAGTTATCTCAAACACTAGCTCGTGAGATTTTTTCTAACAAAATAAAATATTACGTGATAGTTTAAGGATTTCCTTGAATGGTCATAATCCCCAGGCAGTTGGGTGTTCATGTAAGCTTGCCTGACATCCACCGGTGCCATTGTAAAAGCAGAATTATTTGACTGCGCCTGGTTTTGTGGATATATTTTACCTGCTGCTGCACTGTGACCAGAGGATGTGGGGAAAAATACAGGGCCTGAGGTTACTGCATGTCCAGAAATGTTCCTGTACAGGGACTCACTGTTTTACCTGGCGGGGTCTAACCTACAAGCAGCCGGCCATTACCTACCCAATAAACGAATGGCTGAGTATTTGGGGACAGCCCTATTGTGAACAAATATTTTTCATCACAGTTTTCATTAATGAAATGAACAGTGGTTGCAGTCTCTTTGAGAATCAAACCTACCAGTGAAAAGGTGTGAGCAGGTCTTCCTCAGCCTGACGGCCTGCTCATACAGTTTGCGTGCGCTACGGGTGGATCCGGGCATGAGGCGGTTCCTCATAGTCTTGACGCCTTGCTTGCTATCTGGGTTGAGGAAGATGACGATGGGATACCACTGGGTGTAGTTCAGAGTATCCACAGCTTTGGGAGTCACATCCAGCAGAGCATGGCAGTCCTGAGGAAACAACAGAAAGAGATCAAATGCTAGAGAGTGTCAATCCAAGTTCATAAAGTTGCATTCTTTTCTACAGTACTGTACCTGTTCAATGATTTGTCTAATAGTGTTTAGTCTCACAACTCCAGAAGATTTTTCACTTCCTGCATCTTTAGGCTCCATTTCTGGAGGAAAAAAAGAAATGGCTAAATGTAGCAGACTGGAACACATGTACAAGGGACTTTTTTTTGAACAACTAAAATGAAGTGGTGATGATATAAGCACTTACTGGCAATGACAAACTCGTTCGGCATGTCGTTGGCCAGTTTTTCATTCACTGCATCAGAAATGGGTCCAAATATCACCAGGGGTCTCTTGAATCCAGCTGAACAAACCATTAAGCAGAACATGAATTCAGTCATAGACATCCCAGGCAAACAGAAAACAACAACAATATACTTCTTTTGAAACTGCAGAGTGGCTAGTGGGTAACTTTTGAGCTATGCTGACCTTACAGGCCTTAATGTGCATTTCCAGTGTTTTGATAAGATTCTCTTTTTTTGCATTGATTGTTTACATTCATGTTTGTAAGTGACATGTATCTAGCTTGAACTGAACACTACTGAGGTCCTAAAGTGCAATGCATGTACAGAATTAATTGAAATATGAAAGAAGTGCAAGATCATCATCAGGTCAAATCATGCAATTTCCTCATAAACTGTTGGTACAATGTTTCTTTCAATTTGACCTTAACAGAAACTTCTCCATAAATGTCCAATAAATGTGCTCGTCTCTCTCACTGTTGTTGCTCCCCTCCAAGTTTATTTTTCCTGGTATGAGGGGCTGACACTGAATGATTATAACAACAGGTGATATGTGCAGAGGTGTTAGATGTTAAAAAAAACATATGAATTCCGATTTGACTGTTTGGACAGAGGTTGCATAGTCAGAAATCGGATACGAATTGGCCCTGGGACCACATATGGATGAGGCCCAGATTTGATAAAAAAAATAAATAAATAAAAATAAAAAATCTGATTTAGTTAGTTCAAAATATCAGAGCTGGGGAAAAAAAAAAAAAAAAAAAAAAATAAAAAAGTCAGGTTCGGGCCACTTCAGGAGGTAATGTGAACATAGCGTTTGTTACCTTCACGTAAGACCACTCTCTCATAGGCCGGGAATCGTGTGGCGACCGGAGCAGCACTCAGATCCTCTCTGCTCTTGCGGAGATCTTTCTTCTTTGCTGCTCTTTGACCTCGCAGCCTCCAGAAGTCTCCCCTATCATTGCCTGATGCAGCCCGAGCAGCGTTCTGAACATTGGCCATTTGGTCCGCTCTGAAAGACAAATAAAAATGAACGTCCATCAACGGGAAGCCTGACATTATGATTTTGTGATATATATCTTTGTGGTTTCTAACAATTTCAAATGTCCTTGCTGCATGGTGTCATTGTTAATTATGCAGGCCCTTCTAGTGTTTGATTACATTGTTGATCAGACTCATCCAGTGAATTAGGAATGAATAATTTGTGCTTGACTACCATTACAGACATCACTATGGCCTACTGAAAATGCCACTAATATAAATCCAACTCAGACACTTAACATGTTAAACAATCTACAAGAACTTTATTTTTAAGATAAGATTTAGTTTATTCATCTCAAGTTTATTCATCTAAAGAGGAAATAATACAATAATTACTATGCAATAATCTCACACTACACTGTATAAAACTACACATGCCGTAAGACAATAGTATCCATTAAAACAAGAGTTAAATGTAAAAATAGCAGATGGGGGAGAAGGGTACAGGTTACCATGCAGCATCAAAGAGCAAGACTAAAATATGCAATGAACAGTATAAAACCAGGTGTATAGTCAATGTTCCTCAATATTACTGATCTAAAAACGATTATAAACAACTACTATTATAAACTACTAATTTATCAAAGTGGCTGTGAGTTAGCAGCTTATATGCAGCCATTTTTTAAATGAACACACCTGACAGTGCTAGCAAGTTTTTATAATCAACACCATAAATAAGAAATATTCAGTCGTCACACCTATTTGTCTGACAGATTCTTAAAAAGGCATAGATGACCACAACCCCCCCATACACACCTGCTCTTGTTGGGGATAATTCCTTTCTCCAGCAGCTGGTTGTCTTTGTCAGTGCGGATTGCTAGCCAGTTGCCCAGCTTGCCATCATAAAGTGTGTCTGTCACTTTGAAGATCTCTCCTCTGGTGAAAGGAAGGCTCTGTGGCATCTCCTTCTCATACTCAAAATGGGTCCTGATGAAGAAAGAGTCGCCTCTGCCGGATGCTAAAATGTCCTTATATACTGAAACAGAAAGCAGATGGAAAAAAAAGGAAGACTTGCATCATTCTGTGCCTATCCACTCACTGAATGTCACTACAAAGCTAAGCTAAAGACCACGGGCAAATAAGTGGTTTGACCTCAGAGTATTAGTGGTTGAACTTAGTATAAAATAGGGCCTGATTATGGGCCCACTTTTTCTCGGCATCTACATAATGTACCTCTTTGAATTTATTCACAAATCTAGCATCATTTTTATTTCTGAGCACATGACACTGGCCTCAAAATCGATTTGACCAATTAAATGAATAAGCCACATAGTGGTTATGCAGACTAACATTGCAACAGATGGTAAATACATTTCAGCCTTTTCACTGGTGTTTGTTACCTTTGGTATACAGCCAAAATATTTTAGCACAGTAAAGTTTTCACTGCATTTGGTACTGTGATAACTTTGGGTTATCAATAAAGAGTAATAAATCTTGGTTTCAGCAGTCATTAATTATACAGCATAGTACCATCAGGTTTGCTCTGAGCAAGAATGGTGACGTCTTCTCCTTTGGGAATCTCCAGGAGGTAAAGGACAGCATCCTCACGTACCATGCCTCTGAAGTCTGTGTTGTTCACCTGGAACAAACAGGAAAACATTTAGAAACAATAGTATTGAATAGAATATTATACAATTATACAACCAACAGGTTAAATATTGGATGTTTTTACACAAAGGCATCAGACACCAGATCACTAGCACTAAAGAAAAACCAACATTACAATTAATCAACTGAGGGGTGACAGCAGGTTCTAGTCTGTTGTTTTTGAGTACACTTACAACATGATTTTCCTAATCTTGTTTTTAAATGACTCTTCTTCCTTGTATGTCTTTTGTTTTTGTTATGTTTATAGTAGTTTTTAATAATCAGTACCTAAAGAATACACTAGGCAGAGCCTAATGGGTATCCAGATGAACACATCTGAATATTTCATCTGCAGGTTTTGAATATGGGATAAGAGAAGCCTCACTTTCATGATTTGATCTCCTGTGCGGAGACCCTCCTGCTCAGCTGCACTGTCATCCTGAACGTCAGCGACGAAGATGCCGACATCATTTCCTCCTGCCAGCCTCAGACCCACACTGTCACCCTTCTGGAAACGCACCATCACTGTGTTCGGCCTGGACGATGAAACCAAGAGTTCATTACACAAAATCACAAGACAAGGAAAAGATGCAAGTGAGGAAAATAAGATACTTGGAAAGCAGCACAAGTCACCCTGAATAATTTGTGATATACTGACCCATATACTTCCTGGTCCTCTAAGCTTGGCTTTAGTAGCACCTTAGGAGGAGCCTGAACCTTTGGGGCCACAGTGACTACTGGTGCTGCAGAAAAGGAACAGAAAGCAACATGTTCATATTTCAGATTTACCCATGAACGTAGCTTTGGATATTCAGAAGAACAACTGTTTACCTGGTGGCGTTTCTGGTCGTGGTTCATCCTTCTCTGCCTGCAAAGTGGGCGTGTCTTCTACAGTCCTGTCAGGGCCTCTGAACGGCGTTGGCATGGCGCCCATTTTTGCCAGCCTGTTGGGTGGGTCCTCTCTGGAATCAACACACATTCAAGTCTCAGAAAATGTTTAATTTCTAGCAGGATTTTGTGGTGACTGTACAGTCAGTTCAGCTGGGGACCTTTGTTGCATGTCATCCTTTAACAACTCCCCATATACCCAAACCCCAGCCAGAGAGGTTTCTAAACTAAATTAAAGGTTTAGAGAAAAAAAAAATATCACCAATGATTGGTTTTATGTGATGGTGTGGCTAAGCCTTATGAAGCACAACATAATCCTGCATTATCCTCATTTTCTGCTGCATTTAACATGCAGTTACTTCATTAAGTCTGGATTTCCTTTTGTGGCTTTAATCATCTAATAAAAATGTTAAAATTCAATATACTCTGAATTTATGAAGTTACTTAAATATGTAGCCTCAAGCGATTTCACAAAGTCAGACTATTAAGAAGTGGTTTATCTGTGTGTGCCCGTCTGTTGCTTCTAAGAACAATCACACAATCCTTCCTATGATTGTAAATTTAATGGCAGCTTACCTGGGCTTCTCTCTAAGTCTTTCATTAGAGGAGTGGGAGGAGATGTCAGACTGGTGGCCTCGCCTATCATCCTGTGGAGAGTAGGAGCGATACGACTCAATCTCGGAGATGTCTGTAACACACAATCACAGACAATCAAGTGTCTGTGCGGGCCTTGTGGTTCCGTTAAATCTTCATGTAAAAACAAAAAAATATATATGTTTGAGTAAAATGCCTAATTTCTCTTTGATGCTCTTTGCCTACAGGTAATTTGAAACAGAAAATCATGTCAAATGACAAATTACTATATACATTACCAGGTCCAAGCACCGTGATCAGGACAAAGAACTCAAATTACTATATACATTACCAGCTCCAAGCACCGTGATCAGGACAAAGAACACAAACTCAACAGGTTGTTTAAACTCTGACACGTAGGAAAATGGTTTTGTTGCATTTCCATTTATTCTAGCACAGCAAGAGTGATACAGCATAGCAATAGCATTAAAAAGCAAAGTAGCTGCACTTCAGGCGATTTGAACCTAGCAGAGCTGAAGCTTCTCATTAAGACACATAGTCCCTTTTGTTCCCAGAGACCCACACAGAGGATCTCCTGGATGGCAGAAATCACACTGCTGCTGCAGTACGTAATGAAATTCTGTCATATCCAATAGCAGGATTATGATGGTGGATTAGATCACACTGCCAAAGGCGAGTGGGCACATCCACACATGCAGAAACACACGCTCTCCGACACATACGAGTCCCATAACTAGACAAAGTGGGTCACAAGACATCTGGCTATGCCGCCCTTCCTGCAGACATTTGGTCAGTGAACAATCCACTCACACCTCTTATCTAGATTGGTTCCACTCAATCATAGCACATCATCTGGTCATGTGACACAAATAACAGGTATTAAAAAGTGAATAATCACAATGGAGGTATAAAAATAATGACTGGTGACTCTGGTTGGATAACAGTGCTCTTTCATGCTTTGTGAAAAATTTATACACATCAAAAAAATATTTAAATGAAACTTAAAAACTGATGTGTGAGTAAAATCTTTATTTTATGAAGTGAAAACAGAAGTGATGGACAAGTACAATCACAAGAGCTACAACACAACACAATTGATTCGTATGAAGTTCAGATGAAGTGAGTATATATATGATGATGGTGGCCACTCGCCAGGTTTGCCTTTACACTGGATAGGACCTGCTGCTTTTCAGTTTTGGTGGTTCCTCACCATCGAGATCCGAATCGCTATCGGCCATCTGGGGGATTCTGATCAGCACCTGCCGTCTGTCTCTCTGCACCAGCAGCTGCAGCTTCCCACGGGATTTCTCAATCAGCTTCCCTGCATCGCTAAGAGACAGGTTTTCTGTCACCGTACCATTAATCTGAGAGAGAGAGAGAGACAGAGAGAGAGAGAAGATTGGCAGATGGTCAGATGCTAATCACTGCACTTAACTAAAACAGTAGAACAGTACTTGTGCTGTTATGGAATTAAACTGTTTTGTTTTGCAGAAGACAGTGATGAAATTCTGGAGGAGATATGACATTTTTATAATCAAACAAATAAATCAATAAAACCAAGAAAGAAATCTTCTCCAGATGTTTAATCTGAGCCTCAGGTGCCACAGGGCTGGAGGAAAATACTGTATACAGAATATGATTTTAGTATCGAGTCATTTATCAAATAAAATGCAAAATATATTTGCGTCATCAAAATAAACTTTTCACTTGGGCCTCTGAAAATGTGCTATGTGCGTTTTTCAGTATTCTGGGACAAATGCGTTGACGTTACCTTCAGGATAATGTCTCCTTCTTGCAGGTTCCCATCTCTGCTGGCCAGTCCTGTGCTGGTCATCTCCTTAATGAAGAGCTGACTGCCCAGACGAAGACCATACTCTGGAAAAGATGGTTAAAAAAAAAAAAAATCATATAAATACAAAAAGAGTATCACACCAGACACTGCTTAGTGTATGGCTAAAATGTCATTTTTGAAAACAATGTCTTGTTTTTGAACTAACTAGTCACTTTTATTTATTTATTTTTTTTAAATGGCAGCTCTCCATGCACCAAGAAGCGGTTTCCTAGGTGCCCAGAAAAATTGTCACTGAATCTCTGGTCTGTTTCTTTGTCTCATTTACTTCATCTCTGATCAGACAGTCAGTGATTTACAGTAAATTACAATGACAGTTTGACATTTTCATTTAGGTCACGTTCTTAAATGTGTCTAATGTAAGATTCCTTTGGAAGTCGAACGGGTATCAAAGTTTATAAAACTTTATTTCTTACCTTCGTTGGGATGGTTCTTGAGAAGCAGAACATTCACTGGCTTCTCCAATGGTTCCAGGTGGTCCCGGCCGGGACGTGGCAGAGGGATGGGCCTTGCAGCAGGGGATGGTGAGCGGTCCAGGCGGTCCCTGCTCCCGCTTTGCTTCTGTGGTTGATCATACTTCTTTGGCTCACTGGAGACGCGTTCACGTCCCCGTTCAACGCCGACATCAGGTCTGTAGCGCAGCTCGGGACTGTAGTCCCGGTCCAGGGCCCGCTCACTGCGGTAACGCCGTTCGGGACTGTGGTACCTTCCATCTGGACTGTAGTCACGGTCGAGCACGTGCTCGCTCCTGTAGCGGCGATCTGGGCTGACCTCTCTGTCTAAAGTGCGACCTCGGCTGCCATCTCTCCTGTATGGCCGATCGGGACTGAGGTCTCTCTCCATGCTCCTGCCACGTTCCCGCCGGTCATAGTCACGAGTTTGGTAGCCAGAATCCATGTAGCCTCCCCTGCCTCTCTGCCTCTCCAGGCTGTGGTCCCGCCCGCTGTACACGCTACGGCGGTCCTGCTCGTAGCTGTAATCATCGTTGAAGTTGTTGCTGAAGACTCTGTCATCAGGGGAAGGGGGACGGTTCATCACAGTGACTGGAACCTTCCTGGGCCTCTTTATTGTCTTTTGAGAAATAAAACAATGTTTCAATAAATAGAAGAAGGTCACAAGGCATTTACAAATCATATTTCAAAATTTGAAGCCTCGGGTGGAGCTGAAAGTAGAGAGACAAAAGGAAATACTAGGAGAGAAAGGGGGGTTAACAAATCTGATTAAAATGCACAGCTTTCAAACCCAGTGTACATTTGTTTATTATGTACATTGTACTTACAATTTTTGCTACTTTGCCACACTTCCTGAGAGTCTGGACAGCAAAGGAGTGGATAGCCCCCTCCATGCTGACGGCATTCACCTGCACCACTCTGTCCTTCTCACTAAACACACATTCACACTGATATGAGTTTTCCATGACAAACACTTACAGGATTTTCATCAGGTCTGTAAATGTGGATGTTCATTCAAAATACAGAATCATATAACAATGTTATATTTTAATATAAAACCCAAAGTAACAGGGGGACCATTACTAGCTCTGTGTCTGTTAAAGAAGTTGCTTGGACCTTTCCCATTATAGGGACATAAGATGACTGCTCAAAGTGGGGAAGGAAATCCCTTGAGCAATTAAAGTATGCTGGACAGCAAACACAACCAGCTCAAACCGATTCCTGTTGTGAGCTGTCACATAAAACTACATAAAAATGTGATACTTCTTGGCTTATTAAATGTTTTATGGGTTTGTTATAGAGGACCTACAGTGTAGGAAATATGGATAAAGTCCTCTATCATTGATATGTAATTTCAAATTGCAGTATACTGCTCAGTACAGTAAGGTCAGAAAGACTAAAGATAAACTGATCAGACTAGAATGTGTGTTTTTGGCAAATCCTTCGTCACATAGTATGTAGAACCCAATAGTGATATAAAATGGTCTGCTTAAAGTCTGCTGTGGTCCCAATGGTTTAATGCATACATACAGCATTAAATCAGTATACACGGAGTAGGGTAATTGTTTCTATGACCACTACTGAAGGAGAAGTGAAATGTACAAAATTAAATATTACCACAGATAAATGTAAAAAAAAAAAAAAAATTTAAATTTTAAAACTGTTGAATTAAGACCCAGAACAGTACATACAATAACAAGCCATCAGCAGGTCCTCCCTTCAACACATCAGACACTACGATGGATGTTTCACCACTTTCCTCATTTGGGTTGTCTCGCCCCCCTGACACTGCGATGCCAAAGCCCATCTTTGAATCCTGAGAACACAAAGAGAAAATATGTAAGTCATGTGGAGTCTCTATTCTGTGTCACAGTGTGTATTTATATACGTGTGTGTGAGAGTGAGTGTGAGAGCGAGAGAGGTGTTTGTCAGCTCATGCTGTATTATCATGGCTGCATGTGCAGGATGCATGGTGATTAAAGGGACTGCGACTGGTGTATACTCAAGTCATGTATGACAAAAATCCCAGGGTGTGATATTATTCACATTATCTGATTTCTGAGAAAGATTTATGAGGCCAAGAGACTTGAACATTTTCTCTACTCAGTTTTTCAGTCAAGCTGACAAGAGGAAATCACCACACTGGTAAAATTGTTTAAATGTGACAGCAGAGTTTGATAAAGCCATGTAAGCTTGTCTCTGTGTTACACTGTAGTTTCCACCAGCATTGAGGCTGAAACAATGGGATTTAATGGTGCAAACAGGTTGTTTCTGTGTGTGTGTGTGTGTGTTTGTGCGCACACCAAAATATCTGCAGTGCCTTCTTAATAAAGTCCTTGAATTTCTCTCACTGACTCCCGTTTCTTTACATACAAGTTTCTGATTGGGCATCAACAAGAAGTATTAATATAATAATGAATCTTAACTTTTTCTTTTTCACTGCGGTGCTATGCTGCTGACACATTTACTTTGTATTTTACATCAAAAGAAAGATGTTTAATAAAAACAGCAATGTCTTTAAAACTAAATGTTAGCTGTATGTTTCTAGTTCCCAAAGACTGTTGAATTTTTATTAGAAATTACATAACTTTTTAATATGGCAAAAACAGGGTTAAACATTTTATCACATCACGCCTTGCTTTGCCAAGTAAATTGTGAAATACAAAAAAAAAAAAAATCTCAAATTTCTCTGCGTTGTTTGAGGAAAACATGGTGGATCCATGTTTTCACATATTTAAAACATAGAGAAATTGATTCAACCCCACATTTTCAGAGTGTTACCTATTTGAACATTGTTACACTGATTTACATTTATTTAGAAACCACATGCAGACCTCAGTGATTCATCTGTATTCCCTCATCATCTGTCTTGTAGCACTGGACAATAGGTCAGCTACAGTATATGTGATGCTCTATATAGTTTTCCTTGTGTGCTTCATGTTTTGTGTATAGATGGACCCAATCTGATCCTATATCGACATTGGGTCTGATATTGATGTCATTTACTCATCGGATATCGAGTGTACATTCGATTCCTCATCTTACCATAAACATGTAGCAACTTCAGTCTGTAACATTAGCTGTTTATTTGACTAAAATGCCATTTGTTTGGAGGTATTTTAGTCTGGAAACCCCAAAAAGCAAGACAACTACCTGTAATGTGTGTAAAGCCGGCATGCCAAGAGGTGGAAGTACAGCTGTGTCATACAATACATCGAATTTAATCAAGCACCTGCAGAGGTTTCACATGAACGCGCATCTGGAGTTCGTGCTAGCCAACAAACAAGAAGACCACACCTAGCAGAAGATTCTCACTGATGCATAGACTTACAGCAGACAACCCAAGGGCTAAAGGGATTATAGAGAAGTTGCTCAACTTCCTTATACATGATGGCCAACCTCTATCTGTTGAAGAAAACGTTGGATTTCACAGCCTGTTGAAGCACTGAGAGCCCAGGTATAATCTGGCATCCAGAAAACACATTTCAGAGACCGCTATACCCCAACTATACAACTGAGTAACATCACTGTTAGCAGCGCAGTTAGAATATGTTAAAGCCACAAACTTCACAACTGATATTTGAAGCTCACATTTGAGCAGCATTGAAAGTGATCCCCTCTATTCAGTCGCCACTTTACTTGGACCCTTGATGAAAACACAGGTGAGCCAGATTTTTTTTTTTTTAAATAAATTATAAATTCTTAATGCCCAAATGCTGGCTACATTTTAGATAGTAAATGTAAAGTCTTGAAAAACCTAAGCCGCATGTTTATCTCTAGCCCAAAAGCGGAGATTTGCAAGTGGTTGCACTTATCCATCATTACTCATAATATTTTGTTTATTAGTACTGATTGTGTCTTATTGCAATGAAATAGTTCTTGTATTGGAATCAGGAGTTGTGTATCGAAATCAGAACTGAAAAAAATGTGGATCAGTCCATCATTAGTTTTGTGCAACGTACCCGTCTGCATGCTCCTCAGTGCACTTCCAATATGCAAGTGAACACACACCCGGTACAGACACTAGCACGAGGCCTCACTTGAGGTGCACACAAAATGCTACGCTTACGGTCTGTGCAACTGCGTGTGACACGGACTATTGTGCCTCCAAATTTGATCGACACAGAATCAGAAATCTCAGAGTGATAAGCTGATCACGCTGATCGATTGGTACATCTGTATTTATTTATCCTGCTTTTTTCTTTTAGATGAGAAAATAAATCTGCCATTTGGTTAAATATGGCAAAGTGATGTCAGTTAATGGGCTTCATCTCTGACTTGACTTTGAACTAAATTTATTAAAGTGTTTATCGTCATGTCATTCCATAAGGAAACTCGTTTCCCCGTACAATGAAGTTTTTACTTTGCTGAATGTCATGAATGTTGAGTTTCATGCTCACAGAAGTCTAACCAACTCCTTACATTTGGTGACAAATGTTGTGGAGGACACAACGAGGGACAGGGACAGAGGCAGTAGCAGAAAGAATATGTATTAAGAGACTACCCAGTTAACAAATAACAGAAGAGAATCAAACATGGCTGCACATAGAGTGTGACAGCTGGCTGTGATGGGGTTCAGAGCTGGGGATCGTATGCCTGCAGCTGAGGACTTTTTTTTTTTTTTTTTTTTAAACAGTAAATCTGCTTTGTGGTGACTGGTGAACATCAGCAGGAGACATGAAGCTCATGATGATGATTACCCAAGCTCAGCTGGTTCACTCTGCTCACACAGTACACATATTTAACACTAAAAAGTGAAGGACCTGGTTCACTTGGCTGGTCGTGAAATGTGGCACAGATGTGACGTAATCAAATTTAGCAAAGCACTGATGATGTGAATCAAGTAAATGTAACATCGTAATTATTTCCACACACAACTAAAAATGAGATTTTTAACTTGTGTGTTTGCTTGTTCAAAACTGTTTGATTTTAAAAAATAGGTTTGGCCACTTGACTGTACATTATTCTTATACTGCTGCTTGTGTCAAGACATTACATTACATTTCCTAAAATAGGGTATAAACAAATGCATTGCTTTGGCCTGGGTCCAACTTAGAACACAAGATTTGAAACTTAACTTTGGCTATGATTAGCTACTCACTTTAGTCACAAGTATTCATTTTGTAACAACATGACATTTGGAAAAAGGTCTAAAAGTCATAATACTATGCAAAGAATCAGCATTTTCACGTAATAACAAGTATCAACTACCACAAATTTTACTCAACTTTCTGATAACTAATTGATTCAAAATTTTAGAGTCGTTTTGACCACATGTAACCAGCATTTTAAACATAGCCCTGGTTAAATAATGCAGCCTACTTGGTTTGACAACACTGATAAAAAAAACAAATCTTAAAATTTTGATGCACTTTGCAGTAGTGGCTTTTCCCAAAACAAGTGATGAGACTATGATTTTTTTTTTTTTGGTGACTGCATTAGTTTACTTTGGCTCATACTCAGTCTGTTACATCTGGGAGCACTGTGCTCTCTTAACCATGGGCTGACTGCAGTGTGTTAAACTAATATAAATGTTCTCTACTGGGGAAGCCCAGGTCCCAGTTTCCCTTATCTGCATCACCAGTACACTCCTGGCCCTTTGTTGACTTAAACCCCCCCCACCTTTTTATTTATTTATTTATTTTTTACATTTCTTTATTTATTTGATTTAGTTTTATTTTACTTTAATATATACCGAATATCAGTCTGGATAGAGTTGAACACACCAACATTACACACTTTCACACACAAACTAAATTTAATAATCCCTTTGTCTCATTTAATGTCTGTTGTCTCATCTTCTATGTTATGTCCGTTGTCCTCTAAATGTGTCATTTCGTGTTGCAAAAAAAAAGAGCCACTGGGGAGAACAGCCTGGGTTTGTGGCTAAAATGTAAACACTAAATAAGCTGAGGTCTGGTGTGTTTCGGTGCAGATGGACTCACCCTCTGCAGGGTCACAGTGTACTGCTCCCACACAGTCTCCTCCATGACCGGGTTCTGTGGAGAAAAAGAAAAGATTACCATGGGTGGTTTCATTTATTACATGATGCCGCAACAAGGCCAAGTGATTAGCCTATGTTGTTGCTACACAACCAGGAGTTATGATTTGTTTACTGTTTGAGAAACATCTAGCTCTTATTGATTGAATATTGATGAGAATACTTGATCAGGTGATCAGCAGCACCTAAAAGCAATTCAATATGAAACGCTTCTTCTGAGAGACAGACTATTCCATGAACCACTAACAGGTTACAGAAATCAACCTGAAGCCACACACATGCTAAATTAGAAGTCACTTAACCAATCAACACACAACTCAGCAAGGTTTCTGCTGCCACTAATAATCAGTTTTATTATCTAAAACTACTTGATAACACCTTAGTCAGAGCCCTAACCAATGTGCTGAAAGTGGTTTCACTGTCCGCCAGTCAAAAACCCTCAGACAGTCACACTCACAATCCAAAAACACAGATCGTACCTCGATATCCCTTAAAAACAGATGAGCTGGTTTTAATTTGGTCTAACTACCTGTATCATCCATTATCATTCCATTGGTGCCACACCTCCAATTCTGGACAACAAACTGAACATAATTTACAGAAACACTACCAGATCCGGTCAGTTTTTTTTAATAAACAAACAACAAACAAAAAACCCTCTGATCCATTACAGAAGAAGTCAGGTCTAGCTGCCTGGTGAGCCATTTGACCTGGCCACAGATCTGATCAAATTTGAGCCACAGTAGTAGAATCACACTCACAAGTCCCTGCAGGATGCGAATGGTCTTGACCGCATGGGCCCATTTCCTGTGTAGGTTGAGGACGGTTTTCATTGCTGGCGCTTTCTGTCTCTATCTGTCTCTCCCTGCTCACCACCAGTGGTGCTCTGGCAGACTGATGTGCGCCACAGTCTGCTCCATGGCCACAGCTGCACAGCCACCAGGAGCACTCTCCCTGCATCTGCCTGCCTGCCTTTGACGTAAGAGGGATTCTGCTGGCCTACATTCAGCACAAATCCCACTGTCTGCAGAATATGTAAACATACAGACACACCAACTCCTGCACAAGCATGCAGTGATTAAATACCCAAGTGTTCATCCACAAACACAACAAATCACACATAACATTTTGGGGTTGATGTCTGCACAGACCCTAAGATGTATTAGATGCTTTAAGGTTTTAGAGGTTATTCATACATCTGTAAAGACAAACCAACAACAAATGTGAGCAGAGTGCAAATTTGCATTACTGACAGCACAATGATTTGAAGCTGTTTAGGGGAACTAAAGTTGAAAGAGAAACCTTAGTGCTGCTGACACCTCTGGCCCAGGCTTGGTGGCATAACTCAGGCTGGCAGCACACCCATCATAACCCACATTTTTGATCCTGCGGCCTACAAGAGGAAACCAGATAACCAGCTGCAGAGAGCCCACGGGACTGTGTGTATGGAAGCAGGAGAAATAGTACTAGTACAGTACATAGGAAAGAACACAGACATGATTTTTGCTTCAATACTGCCATTTAAAATGTCCATCTGGAATGTCATGTTAAATTGCTCTTATAAGGCAAGAGTCTTTCTGTCTAATAATAGCCCAGTGTTGAATAAGGATCTTTCTCTAATCACAGCAAGTAACACACAGAGTTCAGCTCAGGGCTGACACACACATATATTTTGTCGAGGATTTAGTTTTTTATCCTCAACTCAGGTACTGTGTCAACAAAGAAACGAAGCATTGTGAAGTGCTGCTTTCTCCTCTTCTCGTTTATTTGACATCACTTTGCATCCGACAGGCCAAACACACACACAAACACACAAATCCAGCAGAAGAGAACATGTGTGGACAGAGGAAACATTAATTCATTAAAGTAAGATAAATGACTTTGAAGTAGATAATGAAAGTGCTTCAGGCAAGGCCAAACCAGATTTAATCAGACTAGCTTCTTACACAGTGTGATATGATTGTGATGGCTGCTAGCAGGCAGGGCTGCTGGATAAGTCATAGTCTCCTGAGTGCAGGCCATTACATAAAACAAACATTTCCACTAATGAGGACAGAGGTTGAAATACTGGGTCATCCTCGCAGGACATGAGTTAGAAAAATTATCTAGAAGCAGAGTCAGCTCTTTAAAAAGGAGAAACAGTGGGCACATCTGAATCAAAACTCAGAACTACACTAACATAAAGCCTCTTTGGGTGACATTCAAATTCCAAACATAATTCGAAATTATAGGCCAGTCCTCACTTGCTTTCTTAATCTGTGGTTCCGTTAGTGGATCTTGGGGGCAGGGAAAACAAATTTGGGGGATTCTGATGTGAACTGCAGAATAGGAAAAAAAAACTACTGTCCCCTATACAAATGTAATTTCATATCTATTCAAAGTTTTGCCTTTAATTCCCACACATATTACCATTTTAAAATCTTTTGTTTTTAATATTTATACCAAATATAGGTACTCAGCAGAGCTGCACTTAACAAGTAGCCTATCTTTATTAGCCCTAAGGTTGTTTACCTGACTATTTTTCAATTTGTTTAATCTATAGGACAAAAAAGAAAGCCTAAAGTGATGGCTTCAGATGTCTTGTTTTGTGAGAATAACAGTCCAAAATCCAGAAACATTCAATTTATGATAATATTCAACAGCGAAAAGAAACAAGTCCTCCACCTGGAACAGTTTGATATTCATGTTTGAAAATGACAAACCATTTACCGATTGTCAAATATGATTTGATTTTCTTCTCATGCACTACTCAATAATTCAGCTATTCATTTTCGCACCACTACGTGGTTGTTCATCTATGCGTTAGCCCTGCGATGGATTGGCGACCTGTCCAGGGTGTACCCCGCCTTCGCCCAATTGCCAGCCGGGATTGGCTCCGGCCTCCCCCGTGACCCCATTCAGGGACTAAGCGGTAGAAAATGAATGAATGAATCAAAAAAGAGCGAGTATTTTTTTGACATAGTTGCAGCACCAATCCCAAGGCAGCTGGAAACTGGATGAAGAATAACTGACAAGTTTTGTGAAATTGTATGGAGAACATGTGAAACCGTAATGAAATGATACTGCACTGTGTAGGATGCTAAAGACAAATTGTATAAATTCAAAATAGAGTATAAAACTGAGGCTAACTCATGACCGGGTGTACAACAAAGAAAAAAAAAATTACTCACTTTTTGTTCCCCTCCTGAATGTTTTTGAATTTGCCAATATCAATACTCAAAGTACAAAAACCAGCTCTTCAATGTGCAACTAAATATCTTTGGCTTCTAGATAAGACAGACACAACATAAATCAAGGCCAAGATTTTGTTTGCCATCTATTCACTGAAAGCACTTTGAAACTGTTTGGGGTGACGTCTGTATAAATGGATTTACTGTCTGTCCTTCAGCACTAGTTCAAATGTTTTTAAACAGTCCTTCATGATGCAGTGTGTAGGTTTCAGTGTTTCTATGTGCTGCTGATCACTGATACAGGTTGTACAAGTCTGCCCCCTACTGGCGACAGCGCCGAATGTGAGGCACGAGAGAGGGCAACATCAATACAAGAGAACACCTGAAAAAAACACAAAGCCATCACAGTAACACAGGACTTTTGTGGGCCTTATTTGTAATTAACTACCGGCTGGACCACGGTTAAACGTTGCTTCTAGAGAAACTTGAATAATTAAAAAAAAAAAAAAAAAAAAAAAAAACAAAAAATATGTGTACAAAAAAGAAATAAAAAAAAAAAAAAAAAAAAAAAAAAGCAAACATGCTGCTGACACGTTTTAACCACTGAAGCCAATTATGTGTACTGTAGTTGATACCAGAAGATCAAATGCGTTAAAGGTCAATATATTCGCAGGAGATATGGGGTCAAAACAACACTTAAAGCAGGATGTATCCACTTTAACTGCGCTTCTGTGAACTACAATAACTGCTAATTAGCTGGCAGCTACAATAGCAGGTGCAACAGGCTTCAACAGGGACTACTCACTATCCCTCAAAAACATTCAACCAGGGGTATAACAATGCGATTATCTGCTGAATTTTGTAATGATCGATTCTTTGAATTTAGTCATGCTAGTACTTACGGTGAAATACTGGGTAGCATATCTGTTCATAGAGAGCAGACCTCCACCGTTTACTGGCATCACGCACTTTGAACTATCCGGGACTGGTCCTGGAAAATTTAACTAAACTACGACTAGCTGTGCGTTTCCGGTCGTACAGCGGTCAAAGTTAACAATACAGTAGGGTCCAAGAAGCTTGAAAGTCTCGTTTACACTACTTTAAACGTCGCACTTTAGCTACTTATCCAGGGCAAATATTAGTGCCGGATACTCCTAGTTTGGTTCAGATTATACCAAATGAGAGGGGATGGGATTTAAACTGTGCCAAATATCAGCAACTCAGACAAAACTTTATAGCCTAATCTAAATCTCGTTTAATTAAAGAAAGTGTTTACTCAGCTACCAAGAATAACGAACTATTAATATAATTAAAGATACAACAATGAAAGGTGTCTTTCCCCTCTAATACCGCTGAGATGGATCCGTCCAGAATTCCCACTGATTTGCAGGAAGCCTGCTGCGAGTCCCAGGCACAGGCAGCACAAAAACAGATTAAATACAGCGGACTCATAGGCGGCGCCAGGACATCATGTGTGGGCAGAGGAGTCCTGCATGGGCGTGGTTCATGGAGGTATTGTAACTGCCAGTGGTTCAACAAAGACGTAAAAGCGCGTGTTTGGTTTTCCAGAGGGCTACAATGGTGACAGAGATCATCTAAAAACTTTGGCGAAGATGTTTATATAACCCAATCAATTCAACGAGTTTCTTTATTCTACGCATCTCACATTATAAACTTGTAGTAGTCGGCCACAGCAGTAGTTGCACTGCAAAGCATTTTACAAATAAAACATGAACCTGGGGAAATACAAATTTGGAAAAGAGGTCAAACGATAGTCTCCTGCATATCCTGAAAAATACCCAGCAACAGTAGTAGAACAGGCTAAGGCTACATTTATGGAAGTCCTTAAGCAGGTCTACAAGTTTGAGGTACATATGTACCTTGTAACTTTCTGTAACTTGTAGACCTACTTTAGTCAACTGGAATAGCCTACTTCTATATATACACTACACTACATCTCAGAGGATAACACTGTAGCCTACTTTTTTGCTCCACTACATTTAACTCAGTTACTATTCAAATGAATTTTTCATATCCTTAACTTATAAATTGGCTATGGTGATACTGAATCAACATTTTCTGATAAAGTGAAGAACTAAAGGTCGAGAAAATTCTCCTACATCCCAAGATACACTCTTTTTAAAAACCACTGGATTACTTGGAAAACGCATTGTTACACAGCAAAGGGGCGTTTTAACCTCATGAAAAGTTGATATGACAACAAACAGGGAAAGGCCTTGTTGCCATGAAGTTGTCACTTTATGCAGAAAGATTTTCCTTTACTAGAACTAAAGGGCCCAAACAAAAGAAACCAGAAATACACAAAGATATGTGGTCAGCTGTATATTGTTGACTTACAGTAAATGAACAATTCAAGGCTCTTGCACCATGAGCAGCTGCACCACAATGACCTATTGTTGGTTTTGTTTGTGTATTGGTACGCGTCTTTCTATGTTTATGTGGACAAATTTATGTTTTATACCATTGTTGTGAGGACATTTATTTTAGCCACTCCTCACAACTTCAAAGGGCTGTTTGAAGTTGAAGACTTGATTTTAGGATTACGATTAATTAGTTTTAGGTTATTGAAAAGTCGGAGTTAGGGTTTAGTTATCTTAAGGGGCTAAGGAATGCATTATGTATCCTCACAACTACAGAAAGGTGAATGTGTGTGTTCATTCAAATCTGTCCTTATCTGGTATTTTATCAGCATGAGACAAGTCACAGATAAGAGCACCAGCTGACCGCTACAATGTCAAAAATCTCTAATACCACATACAATTAAACTGTTTCTTTTCAATAACCACCATTTTAACCAATGACAGAACCTTCTCTGTTGGCAAAACTGACCACAATTTATCTTTGAATTAAACAAAATCACTGTTGTAAGAATAAAATAATGACAATTTAAGAAAAATTTAAGGTCAATTCAATTAAATCACCCCATTTAACATCAATTGAAATTTTCAAAATGTACCTTAAATAGGTCATCCCACTGGCCTCAATCATTTGTGTTACCAAGTAATTAAATCAACGAAGCTTCCGGAATGCGACATGCCTCTCTGGTTAGTAATCATTCTGGATGCAGGAGGGGTCACTAGAGGAAAGAAGTCTGGGAAACACCGAGTCACTAAATTTCACATCACGGCATCATCAGTGTGTCAGGGGGAGAGGCAGCCTTGTTTGCAGGTCACCAAACATTTTCTGATAAACCCACAAAAAAAAAAAAAAATTAAACGCAGCTTTGCACTGATGTATTTTTCATCTTATCCATAGATGGGATTATGAAAGATTAGAATTGATGAAATTTTCATTAAAAGAACCACAAAACCATCCAAGTGACAATAAAAGCACGAAAATCAAAGCTAGATCGACCTGTGGGGTTTCAAGTGACACCAGCAGCAGTAATATACATACTCTGAAGAGTAAAATGCCAAAAGTGAATGACAGTTTCCATGTTTACTGAAAAAATTGTATATGTGCAAATATTAATATAGTTGCCTCATGCCTCCATGTGACCGGATTCAAAGCTAAAGTGTCTACAGTAGAATAAAAGCTAATAAATAATAAATTAATTCAAAACAGGTGAAGTGCAAGCACAGGCATGTTGGGTTTGAACACTGAAACACACAGTAGAGGGTCAACAGGACTGCACATGCAGCACAGGGAGGATGTGCACAGCAAACCAGACTCTACATCACCCTGAAAACATAACATCATGTACTGTAAACAGCATACCATCGTAATAGCCGAGTAGCTGCGTGAAGACAGGCGGCGGAGATACAAGTACTGGGTTTCTCTGGACCAGCAGAACTTGCAGCCGGACTTGAGCAGGTCAGTGCTGGTCTGGTCAGAATCAAGCTGGTTCCTGTGCACACAGAGTGATACACACACTTTTAATTGCCATTTTACTACTGTCTTACACACTGGATTAAAAATAAGGTAACTGAAAACCTATCACATTATTCACTCTAGATAAAGCAGTGTGACGTAGTGGCATGACCTATAAAAAAGGTCAGGCATGCTGTGACCTTAAAGTTTTTCATTTGCTGAGTAGTTTAAATCAATATGAAGACAGCTCTGTGGGCTCTGAGATATCACAACAGATATTCTTCACTTCTTGTTGACATTCTCCATCTAATGTTTTATACTCCAAAAGTAATTGTTAGGATTGGATTTCAGGAGTTACAGTTGTTTTATTTACTGTTAGTATTATTTTGCTTTTATAATGATAGAGTTTAGTATGACTGTCTGTGTTTCATTAGCAGCACCATGTATCAGTATTAACCTGGCTCTTATGCATGCATTATAGTTATAATATTCAGCTTTGAGTCAACTTGTAGTATTTTTCCATCTTCTTGGAAAATTGTGCAAGAATAAATTGCATAGATAAGTGTCGTTCTGGAAACTATTGATAAGATGCTGTTAATTTATGTTAACAGACGTGAAGTCTGATGGGCTTGAACTGGTCACTCATGTCTGAAGCATGAGTAAAGGGTTTTTTTTTACAACAGAATCAGGGAAGTAAGTGACACAGCTTTCAGTTAGAGAGAAACGCCTGAAAATAGA